TGGGCACACCATTGTGTGCGAAGGGCTAGAAAAGCATGGGGATGTGAGGGGCTAGGGTGGTGGGGGAGAGAGCAAGGGAATATATTGGGGCATAAACAGTTGACTGTGGGAGAGGTGCAAGGAGAGAAACAGTAGTCACGCAGAAATGTGAAAAGGGTGCATGCTGGAGAAAGCACAAGTGCCAGAGGGGATGTGAAGAGGGATCAAGGCTGGGGAGAATTTGGAGTTGTGTTTTAAACTGCTGGCACCATCCTTGAGGTATAACTTTGTGAAGTCTCCGAGTCATCGGAGACTGCTCCTTTGGCCTTGCCTTCTTGCTGATAAGCTCTCCTGTTTGACCCAGGTTGGCTCCCACATGCCAGGAATGAATTTATTTTTCCAACCCACCGTAGCCAAGCTTGTCATTTAATAACCACCCCCCACCCCGATCTCTGTCTCCTCTGTCAGCCAGATGAACAGATGGAAAGGCAAAGGGACAGAAATGCCTAGCACTTCCCAAACTGGGAAAGAAGAGAATCAGAGCCTTTCAGATGAGAAGAAAAGATTTCTTTCCTTTTTCAGCTCTGTCTCTGTTCCTTTGTGCTGCTCAGGCCTAACCAAACACCTCACCTACATGCAAGAAAGAGAGGGAGCCCCTGCAGGGTGAGCATGCCTGTCTTTCACTAATTCCCTGCTCTCGGAGCAAGGCAGGGGGGCTTGTTTTCGAGCATTTGAGTTTGGGCTCATCACAGAGCAGTGATAGTGAGCTGGCAGCATCTGATGCAGAGGGAATGATAGTTCATGTACACAGGGGCATTTGTTAAAGAAAACAGCTGCAGCTCATGATGCAAAGCAAACAGCTTCTTCATGGCTTGAATTCCAGCTTTGTTTCCTTTGTTGACCAGGAACCAGCCTTGTGTTAGCATACTCAGCAGCAAAGGCTTGTACCTGAATAGCAGGCTGCAAAGGAACCTGGTATTAAACAGGGGAATGAAGTAGGGAGGATGTTTTCTCATCCTTCTCTCATTTGTGGTTCTCTTGCTCAGAGTTAATTGTCCACATGAAGCTCTCCTTATCCCTTTTATCTGAGCAAGAAGAGTTAAAGAGCTGTGGCAAGGCACCTGTGGGAGGGCTGCTGGTGAACCCTTACAGCAGTCTTGTACTCTTGGTCTTTGCCCTGTTCTCTGAAGCATCTCACATACTTCCAGCACGGTGCCTTGGCTTCTCTCCCAACCAGTTCCACATGGAGTCCTGGAGTGGGAGGGAAGCTGCTAGGCCTGTCCTGCAGCCAGGTATGTGTCACTGATTTTGCTCCCGTGGCAGCAGTGTCAAACAGAGTAACTCGAAGCTTGGCCTGAGCAAGACATCGCAGGCTCGAGGAGTTCTTACAAACTGCTCTCCTGTTTGATCTAACCGAAACCTTGAACTCCAGAGGAATGGGGCAGACGCTCGTGGGGAGGGCTCTTAAACCTGCCCAGGTCATCTGTGGCAGTCTAGAGTGAACAGTATGGCCCTTTCCTTTGTGAACACCTTATGCAGTGGCGTTTACAACACTGATTGCATCCTCAAAGGTTTCTAATGACAATTCAAAGAGTTTGGGTTTTTTTATGATACTGACACTGTTTTCTGCCTGCAGGCCTAATTTCTGTTTGACTATCTTTAACTATCTCAAAAAAAAAAAAAAAAAGAGAGAAAGAAAGAAAGAAGAACAGCCCTAAACTGAAAGTACTGAGATGTAAGTACTTGCAGATGTAGCTCAGAGGAAAGGGAACAGCCTTTGCTGTCATCTTTGCAGTTGTGTGAATCACCTGCTGTTCTAGCAATTAGTTCATGATGCCTTCAGGATGTTTATGTAACTATCGCATGTGGAAATTGCAGTTACGCTGCAGCTACTTAAACAGAAGACACTCCTATATGTTCATATACATATATATGTGTGTATGTATGTATGTGTGCATGTGTGTGTTTTTTTTTTTTTCCAGTTGTGGGTTTTCCGTGCCTGTAACTGATACCACCACGTCAGCCCAAATGGACGGATGGATTTGTTCCTTCTCTTTCCTTTTCTTCTGTGCTTCTTCCCTGCCATTGCTGGGAAATGCAAATCTGCTGCAGGAGTTGGGCCCCCAGGAGTATTTCAGTAGCTTGCAAGCTGGCAGAGCGTCCCTGGCTTTTTTCAGCCACAATGGTATGTATTTAACATCAGCCTAGGTTTTCAGGAAAGGCTCATAAGGGTGTATGTTAGAGAAGGGAATTGTAGTGTTTCCACAACATGTGTGTGAGCATAAGTGGAACAACGAAGAGGTAATTCCTAAGAATTTTAAACCCGGAGTGATTTGAAAGAGCACGTCAGGCTCAGCTGGAAGCCGTACTGCTTTGCAGTGGGTGCTCTACCACTAAGTAGTGGGTATCTCACCATTTGGGAGCCTCTGATATAAGACTCCAACCCCTGGCATCCAGAGGTGTCACAGTGGCTTTAGTGAAGGGGAGGAGGAAAATCCATGTGGATCCAGGGACTGCCCAGAAGGGATAGCTACATTAGTCCCACGTTCCCCCTCATCAGGGGTAACTCAGGCAAACATGGGCATACTGTGAGTGAGTTACTCCCAGAAGGCTAGCAGGGCCTGGCCTAGAGAGAAAAGCTGCTCTCCTTCTGCCTCATCTGTAAGGGGAAGATACTGAAAAAGCTTTTTTTGATGTTTCAGTTTTTCCCAGTGCCCAGCCCTTCTTGGAACAGATTGAGAACTCGGTTGAGGCTCTCCAGGACTATGGGATTTCAGTGGTGAAGGTAAATGGGGACAAGGAGTGGGACAGGCTGTTTGTGCCGGTTATTGCTGCAGACCTGGTTGCAGGGTGGGCAGCGTTTGTCTGCACCTACCTTGGGAACAGATAGCGGTGGGATCCCACAAGAGAGTGGGTGCTAGCTGAGCAGGGCATCCCATTTTATCCCTTGCCCTGCCTGAGGTAACCACACCACACTGCTATGAAATAGAAGCATTGCACCTGCTCTTTGTGGGCTGTGTCACACCTTCTGCCGGTGGGACCTTCTGCCTGTGTCCAGGAAAGGCTTTACATTGCACAAGCTCCAAAAAAGGCTAGAGAGCAGAGCAGAGGACTGGCTGTACTATGAGTCGGGCAGCCCTGAGTTGCTTCTGGCCTCCCAGTTCAGTCTCAGTAGATGAACCCAGTAAAACCAGTGGGCATCTTTTTCCTAACAAGCCTGCTAGGGCATAGTTGGAGCTGTGGCCTGACCCAGGAGTCTGGTGCATGGATGACCACAGGGTCTTCCCTGTTCAAACTATAACACTTTCATTTGCAGTCATGGGTTTAGGGGGCATTTAGCTGTTCACATTTTTCCTGCAAATTGGCCTTTCTCATGGGAAACCGCATGTGCCAGGCTCAGCTGGCTGATCAGATCGTGTGTTCCCAAGCGGCTGCATCTAGTGTGTGCTGTTGCATGGTTAATGCTGTGTACCCGCTAGCAGGCTACCAGAGTATCATCTCCACTGTGCTGCCCAGGAGGGCATCAGCCTGCTGGTCTTGCTTAGAGCATGGGATTTGCATTTCTCCCTTCAGCCTTGTGCACAGGGAAGGAGGATGGTCAAGCCATGAAGAATGCTGGATGGTTTCAGTTCACTTATTTTCGATCCAATGAAATATTTAAAATAAAGTTTTTTAACTGAAATTTTGTGCAGGTTTAAATGAGAACATTGCAAATTCAGGCAAATGTAATTGGATTTTATAATAAGTGCTTATATGTACACATGTTGCATTTCTTCCAGACACAGACTAGGTTTGATAAGCAAGTTGCGGTCTGTCACTTTGAATATACTGGGCAGTTCGTAAGGTCTCTTGCTCCTGCTTGACCGAAATCAAGGCAGGCTGAGCTGGAGAAATGACTTACAGAGTGCAGTCCTCAGCACTGGCCTCCATTCATCATACTGTGTGATCATATTTTTTCTCCCAGCAGGTTTGGAAAGGCTGTATTTACACTCCTGAAGGGAAGAAAGCTCTGGTGCTGTATGTTTGTAGTCATTTGTGGAGCTGAATGTCTAACTACACGCTTTCAATGTCTAGGTTAACTGTCCCAAAGAAGATGTCTCAAGATACTGTGGGAAAGAAAATGCGTTAAGGAAAGCCTACCTGTTCAGGTAGGGCGGGCTTTCTGGGTGCCACGCTGTGATTTCTTTCAAGTGCAAAGGTATGAAGGAAATGCTATCAGCAAGCAGAGATGTCTGTCTGCATAGGAAGAAAGGAGCCATGAGGACAGCAGCGACACAGAGAGTTTAGTGAAAAGTCCCCCATAAGGTTCAACACACGCAGAGTATATGCTTTGTGTTCAGTCTGAAACCTCCCATCCTGCCCCATATTTCCTTTTAGTAGCACAGGGCAGTGGCATTTCCCTTGTGTGTTTGTGCTACAGGTCGGAGCAGAAGAGAGGTTGACACTGCTGATGACCTGTGGAAGGTATTTCTCTTCCTGCAGCCTTCTGCATCAGCTCCTCTTTGATCACCCCACTCTGCATGGCTCTGTTCATGGTGAGAGGAAATGAAACTCATATGTGGTTGCAAAAGCCTTTGCCTTTCAGCCCACGTTTAACCTGTGGAGAGCAGGGATGGAGATTAAAGGTCTTCCCTTGGTAGTGCTTGTACTTGGGATTCCTAGCAAAACACACCAGACCAGAGCCTCAGATAAAATTTTGTGCAGTTCTTTTGATCCCAGAGGAGCTGTGTGGAGGTGTGGCAGCTGCAGATGTGGCTTGGGAGCTCTGGAGTAATGTTAGAAAGACAGCCCTTATTCCAGGTCTGTATAAACTATCCTGGAAGGATCAATCAGAGGGAGAGGCAGAGTTCCTGACTCTGCTTGGGTTTAGCTGTCTTTTCCAACACAGGATCTGTGGGACATCAAATGAAGCTAGCTGAGGGCAAGCGTAAGTGAGCAAAAAGAGAGAGTTCTTCGTACGGGGTAGTTATGGTTAACCTAATGCACTCCTTGTCACAGGAGGCTGTGGATATGAAAAGTTTACACAGCTTCAAAAAGCAAATGAGCAAGTTCATGAAATAAATATTTATCAAGCACTGCAAACAGCAACACCTCTGGTTCAGGAAGCTACAAATTGCTGGAAGCTTGGAGAGTATCCTGGAGAAATATTGCTATATTGCTTGCCCTGACTTTTGTTCTTCCTTGGACATCTACTTTTGACTGCTATCGGAGGCAGTGCTAGGTCTGCTGTATCTTGCCAACAGCATTGCCTGGAGAGAGGAGGAAGTCATCTGCTAGCAGGGAGACCCTACTAGTCCTAGGAACTCCCCAAATTCCTGACACTTTCTTCCCAGCTATACCTGCCAACAGATATCAGGAGGTATTCAGCACAGCTGAAATGAATTTAGTGTGTGTAACTAGTCTTTCATGGTTTCTGTGTTGATTTTCTTTTTTCCTTCCCCAGAGGTAACATACTCATCAGAGAGTTCCCTACTGATGCCTTGTTTGATGTGAACTCCATTGTTGCTAATGTTCTGTTGTAAGTACAGACCAGATTCATCTCTGTGAAATAGTTTACTTTCCATTTTCACTTGTTGATAGAAAGTTTTGCTTAAATACAAGCTCCACATATTTCAGAGGCCGTTTTCAGCCAAGTAGAAACCTGCCTCTCTCCTCAGTGTGGTTTGACCCTGTTAAATCTATGCCCTTGAGGTGACTCGCCAACACACATCTGGGCAGCTGTATCTGGCTGCGAATCTTGCATCTGCCAGCAAGAAGCTGCAGTTTTGCCTTGTTTTACCGATTGTGGTTGTGTGGCTGCAGATTCTGTCTTAAAAGGAAATAGCTGTTAATGATTTTTTCTTCTGACTTCTCAGTGCCCTGCTCTTTAATGAAGTTAAATATGTTGAAACGCTAGCAGATCTTCAGAACATAGAAAACTCACTGAAAGGGAGGTTGAACATGGTCTTCGCATATGTGCCAGCTACTGGGACAGCAGGTATTAACACTCAGCTTTTTCTCTTTACTCCCTTCGCAGAGCTTTCTTTGCTAAGGTAGAAGGCAGCTGGGTTTCTGACCCAGAATCCTTCAAGTGGAGGACTGAAGGAATGTAAAAGGGCCACCCAGATCCAGATGGGAGTTCTCCACCTCTGTTTGTCTCGCTGTGCTTCCAAAGGAATCAGTTTCACCAGGGCTCTTTTGCTGGGAGTTACAAACATTCAGAAATGTTTTTGAGAGGGAAAGCAAGCCAGTAATTTGCTGTCTTAATGAATAAACGCATTAGCAAATCTCTGGTTATGCAGTAAAATGCGTTCACTTAAACCATCTTCAAGTTTACTGGGGATCAGCAAGTGGATTTCAGTTCCAGTGACTCAGTTACCTTCAAGGAGTGTCTTCAAGCAGTTTTGTATTTTTACTGAGAGGTTTCTGGGCCTTGATGTTTACAACGGGTGAAGGGTGAGATCAGGAGTGGGCTGAGGAAGTATGAATTAGTCTAGCTTTTCTTTTTCCTCTTCAGAGCACAGAGCTGTGATGGAGGCGGCTTTCGTCTATGGGACTGCCCACCAGTTTGTTCTGACAACTGAGGCAACACTGATGAAAGACACTGAGTATGTCCAACCACCATCTCCCCCCCTGCCCGGGTAAAGCAGCTTCCCTGCAGCATTTGCTGTACTTATCTTGGTTTCTTAGATTCCCAGGTCAGATCTGACGTTGGCATCCTTGCTGACTTGCACGGGAGAAATAAGTCATTTGTGCTGGAAATGGATCTCTTTGCCTGACTTGAGAGCATTCAAACATTGTCAGGCCTATTTTGCAGTTGAGCTCACTTGTGGCCTCATGCTGAGCTAGAGAGCAGGATGAGGGGTGATCACTGAACACACTGTGGGCAGATATTTTGCAGTGGAAGATCAGTTCGGGGTCCTCAAGGATATTCAGGGCTCTCCTTCCAAGCAGCTGGAAGTGCTGACTATTCTCAGCCCCGTTGGAGGACAGCAAGGTCAGAGCCTGCACGTACAGTTTTCTTCTCTGAGATGAAAGACCTCAGCCTGGGATGGTACTAGGTTGTTATGTCAAAGATGGACAGTCAGCCCTATTGTGCTTTGACAAAACCGGCTGGTGCTTGTGCTCCTGGACAAGCCAGGCTATGAGTACTCACTGAACGGGATTTCATAGCAGAAGAGCTCTCTATCTTCCTTCTGTAGCTGACTTATTAATCCTCAGCCACGGGTTCCCGGGGGCTTTGCGAAACAAATCCAACTGCGCAATGGATGAGGTCACGCTGGAGTTACTGCAGATCAGGAGTGTCACTCCTCTCAGACTCCCTCCTTTCTCCCTGGTGCAGCTCAGATATGACAGGAGTCCTGTTCTAGTAGCACACTGATTTTCTTGGGGGCTGATATAACTGATGTCATAGTCTTAAAAAGCACTCAGTCCAAAATCTGCCTTGTGCTTTGGTGAGCAAGTCTGGCTGTCTGAGAGAAATAAGAACAACTGTAGTGGGTCAGAGCAAAGGCCATACAGCTTTGTGTCTTGTCTCTGCAGTGGTTGTAGAAGCTTACCAAGGGGTAGGAGAAAATGGACAGGTATTACGTGCAACCTCCCAGCTTCTGGTAGTCAGCGTTAGGACTCAGAGCTGGCATTGGACCTGCATTGTAGTCTTAACAGCCACCAGCAGACTCACCCTCCTATCTGATCTCTTTAAACCCGTTTTTACTGTTGGTTTCCATGACTTCCAGCAGCAGTGAGTTCTGCAGTTCAACTGCATGAGACAGTACTTCCTGGAGTGTAGTGTTGGAGACTGCCCACCTGATAGCTTCATTGGATCTGGCCAGCTCAGGCCATCTGTTCCCTCTGAAATGGGAGGAGCTGAATTAAAAGGGCAGATCCTTTTACATGACTTGCTGCTGATGGCCAGGCTGTCTGTGTGATATGCTGCAGTCCAGAAGTTGGGAGGGAGGAACGTAGGGATATCAGACAGGAGAAAAGAGGAAGTTGCACCTTCAGCAAAGGGTTTATACAAGGCTTTTCTGGCTTTCACATCTCCACTGCAATTTACCTGTCACAGCTGCAGAGGTTTGAGCTGTGTGGTTACTTGACTCTTGACGTTCTTTTCCCCTCCACTGTTGAGAACAGATGGGATTCACCTTCCTTTGTTAGGTGACTTTGCGGACAGCCCAGGCTTCTGGCAAGCGAGGTTACAAGCAGCCTGTTACAGGTTATTTTCAATGCATGGTCTGCCTATAAATGGCACTATGGCAATATGGGACCCTTTGACTGCTGTCCCTTTCACTGGCAGGAGACCCTGGCACACATGGGCAATGATAGCTCCACCTCCTTTGCTAGCTCCTCCAGGACCAGCTGCAGTTCTCCCCTCTCCTCTTTATCTGCACCTCTCCGATGGAGGCCCTGCCTCAGCAATTTCCTCTTGGCCATGGCCAGATCATCTGTTCACACACCTGGAGAAGGAAACTTGAAAGACAGATCCCAGAAGCGTTGGGGGCTGTTTTCTCATCCTTTCACGCTTCTGGGCAGGACAGTGACAGGGTCCACCAGCTCCTTGGACAAAGTCGTGTTCATGAACTCTCCAACTTTCTCCTCTGCAGGTAGGGCCTCAGCCCTTCCTTACCTGGAAGAACTTGGGAGGCAGTGGCAGACTGCAGGTAACACCAGGGCAATCACAGAAGTGGTCTTTCCCCAGGTTGTGATCCCGTCCTTGGGGGATCATGATCAAAGACAGTGTTTGTGACTACCGCTAGATGGCACAGTTGCCCTTTGGACAGGATGCGGCTTCATGCGGCTTAAAACAGAGAGGATACCAGCTGGCAGTGGTGTATGCCAGCGAAATGACAGTCGCTTCACCAACATGAGTAGCTTTCAGCCAACCAGGGCTGCAGGCTTTGGGGTCTTGATGTAACACTGTCCTCTTCCATGGAGAGATCTGAAAGCCCTTTACAAAGATGATGATCCCTCTTTTAGACATGAAGGAACAAAATATCACTGCTTCCTTTGGTACAAGCCCTGCCAACCGTGCCCATCGCTTGGTGGCATGACTGGTCCCACTGAGAAGACCTTAGCTTGTGACCTTCTCGAGGTGAGAAGGTCTGGGCCAGCTGGTCTGGGATTGAGGTCACGTTACACCTGATGAGCCAGGGTCTTCGTTAGATGGTCAGCATAATTCAGAAGGGTGCTTGGACACAGTGAGGCCTGGGAGTAGCAGGTTTCTCGGGAAAGTCTCATGAGCCCTTCAAACCCTGGATTTGAGGATCATCTGCCCTGTAAAACATGGCAGCAAACACTGTCATTCTGGCAGGGTGTTTTAAAACCCTGCAGTGCATCCCTAGCTTGGCATCGTTTCCTTTTCTGTCTTGCAGCAATGATGAGCCTGATGTGTCATCTGCCCAGCTGTTCTTCTGCCACTGTCAGCAGGCCATGGACCTGGCCCAGCCCTGCAGGAGGACGCCCATGGAGCAGGCTCTCACGATGCTGAACATCCACAGACACCTCAAGCTCATGGGGGCTCCCCTCGTGGTATGATTGGGAAGTCCCTGCAAGTTGTGCAGCGTGAGGGCAGCTGGCGCAGATGTGAGGATGAGGGAAATCTGAGCAGAGGGCAAGCTGAGGATGAGAATCTGCCCTTCCCCATGAAGTTAATGGTAAAGCTCCAGGCTGGGTCCAAGCAAAGAACAGGCCTGAGACTGAATATGAGTGACACTCTATTACATTGCTGAGCTTGCTCAGACCTCTTTTCCAGAGAGCCCCAGCACCAAAGTGTGCTCCTGCACTTGTCTGTGAGCACCGTGAGTGGGAAAGGGCCTAGTTCCCAGTAGAGTGGAGGTGCCCCTTTGACTTTGCTGGGACTTCTGGGCTTCCCCCAGGAGGCTGATCACTTGCGGGAGACAGATAGCAGCGATTCCTGCCTTGGTGGAGCATGTGGGACAGAAGACTCCCGCTGTCTCTTCCCACAGAGCAGTGAACTTAAACAGACCTCCTGTACCCACTGATGACAGCTCTGCCCAGCAGAAAGTATTGAAAAAGGAGTTGGGAAGTGCATCCTCCAACTTAAGTGTTTCCTTAAGCAGCTCCATGCTGTCATGAAGCAATATGTCAGAGACAGGAAGGGAAAGGATGCCAGCTCTTATCTTACAGGCAGGGTTTTCATACTGCCTCAGGGAATGGATGCCAGATTCTCTTAAAAATTAACAGAAACTTGACATCCAAAATTACTAGATCAGAAAGAATAAGTATAATAAAGCCCAGTTTTTTTAACAGAGAGGATCATAAAAGGCTGGAACAGTTTAACCAGGCTTGCGTGAGTTCTGCTTCAATGGAAGTTTTGGAATCAGGATTGGTGGCTTTTTCTCAAAGGTATTGTTTCTTCAGCTGAGGAATGCATGGTGGCTTGGACTGTGCAAGAGGTGAGACTATGAGGTACCTCCTGGCCTTAGAAACTGCAAACTGTGAAAACCCTGACCTAGCTTCAAAGTTTCAATGAGGAAGTTGTTCTTTCCTTTTAATCTTAGCTTCTATCAATTTGTTAAAGTGATGGCGATCTGGCAGTTGATTTTCTAGGAACTGAGGCTTACTGCAGTCTCACTGTCTGTCTGTCTCTCGGTGTCTCCCTTGCCAATTGCTTGTGACTCTGTCAACCAATTTCAGTCACGTTTCACGAGCCTCAGAGATAATAAATTCCCAGAAGTCCCATGAAAATAGACAGCTGAATGGAAGAGAACTGAGGCACATTCACACATGTGAAGATGAGCAGCAGTATACTGTTGTCTCTTTTCCAGACAGAAGTTGCTGAGGACCCAGAGAAAGTTTCCACTGTTCACTTACAGCTTGGGCTACCGCTTGTGTTCATCCTCAGCCAGAAAGAGACCTATGAAGCAGACAGGAGAACAGCAGAGTTTGTGGCCTGGCAGCTTTTGGGGAAAGCAGGAGTTGCCCTTTTGTCCAGGTATTTAATCTCAGGTGTTTATGGGACTCTCCTTGCTTTTTGTGATGTTTCTGAGCCATATTACCTACAGCCAGTCCCAGGATAATGGGATCGTAGTCAGTGAGCCCGCTAAGATCTGTACAAGAGGCAGTAAAACTAGATTCTCTCTTGCGAGAGCATGTTAACGTTTGAAGCTTCTCTAGAATCAGATTAGTTGGATTTCAGCCTCTGACTGGGCCTACTGAAGTGTTTGAGTCTCTTGCTGATTTAGAAGTAGAAAAGTAGTCAGACTACAAGATACTTCAGGAAGGAAACCTAGAAAGCACAGACCAAAAGTTTGTGTTTTGCTCTCAAATTAATGACAGGGAAATCTGGTAAAGGACATGGACTGTTGGTGCTGATGTGCATGGGTGCTGGTGTAGAACTGGGGTCTCTGCTCACTAAGCAATCTCTCTTCAATCAGGGATGTCGGTCTCTGAGTTGTGCAGCATACTGGTCCTGCCCTATGAGAAGAAGGGACACGCTTGTGGCTGGCCTTAAAAAAGTTGTGCTGGAGAGAGCTGGTGGTTTCCTCTGTGGTTGACTATTGGTTTTTTATCTCTGTCCCATGGGCTCAGAAGTGAGCCTGCGTACACCAGACCATGACCTGTGTGCTCTCCGCAGCCCATCTTGGCCCTGGCCTGCCTGTAACTTGAACTCAGAGCCTCCACATGGTGCTTAGGAAGAACTGATTTGTGTTTGCAAACGATCCCATAGTGCCTTACTGCAAGGGATTTGCAGCCTTTGTAGGAATGGTTGCATGGACTTTTGTGTCATCTGGTGTGTGATTAGCTTGTAGCTGCACCGTGCCAGAACAAGGCCAGGCTGCGTAAGTAAGAAACTTCAGTGCCATGCTGAGGTGTAAGGACACTTGAGCTCTTCAAGGTGCAGCAGGATTCTGTGCTGTCGCTTAGCCTGGGCTCATATGTGGAGCAGGTCTCGTCCTGAGAGGCTTGTGTAAATGAGAGCAGGGATAAATAAAGGCTCTTCAGTTTCCACACATTTCATAGTAAATTTGGCATTTTGGGGAGGGTTTTTTCACCTTTAGATTTTTTTGCTCCACTGACAGAGGAATGGTCCCACCACACAAATAGGAGCCCAAGGGCAGGCATAAAGCTGAGCCTAGCGGGCAGAGACAGGCTAACACCTGCTGAGGGCTTATGTGCTGCTCTGAGTGGGTGAGGTATGATCTGGACCCTGAATAGTTGGCAGTGTGTGATGAGTTGGGAACTCGTGTTCCTGTGCTTGGCCAGCCCCTCCTGTATTTTAGGGGCTGGAGGGTGACACAGTAGCTGTGGGTTGGGACCTTGAGGTGGCGTGTCCTCTCTGTGTCCGTGCTTCTGGCGGCAGTGCAAATTGGAGGAGATGGAGGAAGGATGGGTGTGGGCACTTTTTCCAGCTTTCTGCCATCACAGTATCTCCCTGTATGGAGGCACTTGACTGCATTTACTCATGAGCTAAAATCCACTAGCAGAACAGCTGCATTGGGACACAGCTACCAGTGCGTTGGCAAAGACACAAATCACAGGACAGAAATCCAAACCCTTTGTTAAATTTGCCTGTTATGCAGTACACGTAGTGTCAGTCCCACCAGAAGGTCATTTGGAATCTATTTTTCCTCCACTGATACTGATTCAGGTGGGCTGGGTTCCTGCAGGTCCTTTGAGGCCCAGAAGCACAACTCGGTGAGGATGTGGCATTGCTGGGAGAGGCGTGCTTGCAACCAGGCAGGCCAAACAGAGTGGTAGCCTTACAAGTCACACCATCTAACAAACACTTTGTATTTTGGAAGGGATGTTGTGGATTTGAACGTCCTGCTCCAGTCAAACGTCGCTCTCAAGACACCAGATGAGGTTAGATGCTGAATTTCTTTATTATACCAAGGCTTATTTCCCTGTCTGGGCATGGTGCTCTTGCGGAGAGCTCTTTGGGGTGTTGCTCTCCTCCATGGTCATTTAACAGCCTTCCCAGAATTTCAAGGCCAAGTGCCTTTCCTTAGCAGCACACATGTATTTGGAACTACCTGAGATTGGTACTGTGGAGAATTGTTCCTGCTTATTAGCAGATAGAAGAAAGGAAGTGCTTATTTTGGGTTCTAAACATAGGGTGGCATCTTCTGTTACACGACAAGGCCATGCAAGGTTGTGAACTATGTAAGGTCTATGTCCAAGTCCAAATTCCCCAAAGATGTGGACTTTAAAAGACCCTTGGCAAAGTCCTTCTAAGGATTTAGGAAAGATGTTGAAAAGGTGGGAGAAGAAATGAACCTGAACCTGTTGAGAGCCGGAAAGCAAACATCCAGAGGTACGCACTAGAGTGATGTGAGAGAATGCATCTGACAGTGATCTGGGAAAAGGGCAGGGCGTAAGTTAAATGAGTTTGATCAAGATGAGCTAAACTTTGGAGGGACCTGACCTAGCTTGTGAGGCAGGATGGAACTTAGCACTGACAAATGCCAGAGAACACACTTTGCCCCACGTAACCTGAACTGTCACACTTGTGATTGCGAGAGATACAGGATCAGACCTGAAGCTGATTGTCCCTTGAGGGCTTCCCCTACCATGGTGAAAGATGTGCATATTGCTTTTCTCCTCTTAGGGCCAATGGGAGGTGCCAGCAATTTGTCATTGCTCTCTCTCAGTTCATTATAAAATTCATTTTCTCTGAAGTGCCTTTTGCTGACACAGTGCCAGAACTGGTTTTAGGCTGACAAGGTCTCATTTTTGAGAAATGCATTTTGTTCTCTTCTTTCCATGGGTTGGCAGCCCATTACACTTGGGACCACTCTTCTTTGTTGAGCTCCATGAGATAAAAGATTGTTTGTGCCGTTTTCCCAGGATGCTCTGACCTAGTCTAAGATGGTGCTCCTGGAGAATCCTGTTGCAATATTTTAAGAAGTTCCTGCCCTTGAAGTCTGCCCCGTCCCTCTGCCAGAGGGGAGACAGCCGACTTGGACTGTGTACCTGTACCTCAGCTCTGTCTTTCACGGTTTGGCCTCTGGGCTTTTCCTCCCAGTGGCAGGTCTGCGTTAAGATGTTGGGAGGCAGAGCAGGTGTTTACTTCCGCCACCCCGGTTACAGGTACAAAATCCCACATAGTCGCAAGTGCTTCCTGACAAGGCAACATCAGTCTGGAGTGAGATAACCTCATGGGCGGGTGAAATCAGGCCATAGAAACACACCCCAGAAGCTGTTTGGCAGCTTTAGGAATTTGTTGCTGTACCCCAAAAATAAGGAACAGGGTGGTAGGCAGCCTTAAACAGATCTCCACATCAGCCTTGAGTTTGGATTGCAGACAGAGTAGACACAGGGTGTTGGTTTGTTCCCCCTGATTTATTCTGTTTTCTTTAGGGTGTGCCAGTCAAATACTTGGTTTTGGAAGACACTGATGAAGTTATAACCCTGGTAGAAGATAAGAGCAAGTTTGAACAAATCCAGGAGGATGAAGATGAGGAAGATGAGGATGAAAAAGAGAATGATAATCAAGGTGTGCAACTAAATCATGAAATGCAGTTAGTCATCAGATAGGAGATGCGATCAGCATCTCCTAGATACATCCAAACATACGTTGAAGCGTTAGAGAACATTTTTGCAAATCCCAGGCATAGTCACATGACGGTTGTACAAAGTGGATCTTTCATCCTCTGCAGATCACTGGAAATTCATGACAGATAGGCATAATTTTTAGGGCAAAGTCCAGGGGAAAAACTCAGCAGCTGTTACAGGAACAGTTGCAGAGGTGCTGCATGGGGGAGATACGTACTTCTGTTTGAATGAGTGCAGCTTGAAATGCTTCAGAGGAATGAAGGGTTTGAAGTGCAGTGACCCAGCCCTATCTCCCCTTCAAGCTCCAGAAGAAGAGCCTTACAATTGCCAGTTCCTTTGGAAAGGTCTGAGATGTTTTTCTAAGAGCTCTTTCTTGTGTTCCAGGGCTGCTTTCCCCAGGTAGAAAACACTGGCCCCTGTGATGTGTTCTTGACAATACATTTGTTTTCCAGACAAAATTGTCATTGTTTTCCAAAAAATGTGGCAAAAGGTCCTAGAGGAACTAGTATTCAACATGATTAAAGAATAGCGTCCAAATCTGAGGATGCAAGTAATAGTGTGACATGGCATAAGTGCATTTTAATGAGTTTGCCTGTCTGCCAGTGAGTGTTTCTGTATCTGTTTCCACTGCTCCCCCAGGCAAGGGGTTTACTTAACCCCATGTTGACAGTCACCATGTCTCTGCTGAGTGGTGGTTACTTACTAAAATGTGCTAATGGTGTTGCGAACAGGGGGGCTGCAGTTCCCTAGAGAAAACAGTACTTTGCTCAGAGGACCTTTACCTCCATAGGCCCATTCAGATCTGTAGCAAGCATACCTCTCTGGGTAACCCCCAGAGGGAGCCCTGGGTGGCAGGGGGCAGGCATATTTATGACCCGCTTTACGTTGACTGCTGTTGCCCGTGAAAAAAAGCTTTGTGCCTGTGAAAGTGACTTGAGGAGGCGAAGAAGTATGTCCAGGGCAGCAGGGAAGCACCCAGAAGAGGCGTTGCTAACAAACAGCAAAACACTCCATTTGGGACTTTATTTCTCTTGTGCTTCCCCCTGCGGACCCTTGAATCAGCCTGTCTTGTTAAAGTGTCTATCCTTGCCCCCAAAGTCTTTGTGGTCTGTGTTGTGAGACTGTACAGCACCCAGTGCAGCCAGAATCCGTACAATGTTACTGCGCTGTGAAGATATATGAAATTCTCCCAGTTCTACCAGCTTTTGCACTGATTGCTTGCAGCTGATGAATTCTTGCGGCCTGTGTGTGCATATTTGTTTTCATGCATGGATGTTGACCCCTTGCAGACATTCAAGATGATCAGGTGATGGAAGCAGTTTCCAGGGACAGGAAGCAAGAGCTGCCCCTGGAGCAGATCCTTACGTTGACAGAGGAAACCTTTCACTCTGCTATGGTTGAGGCTGCCCGGATGGTGGTGCTGTTTTATGCCAGCTGTGAGTATGAAACGTGGACTAAGAGTCCCTTCACCTACACTTGCACTGATCGCTGCACTTTCTATATTGTGATGATCCTGTAGACAAGGTTAAGTGGTAAATAAATTATCTGTCTTGTCACTTGTGCCCTAACCCACCATTAGCAATCAGATTAAATCAGTTTCTCTCACTGACTGATACTCTATTGAGACAGAGTATCTCTCACTATAAAATATATCAGTGCTCATAGACCCCTTGAGGTTTTCCAGCTAGCTTTTACAGGGGCTGCATGTGGGACAAGAGAGGAGGTTGTGGCAGCAAGGCATCATTCTAGCTGAATGGCAGGGCCCAGGGGGTTGTGTTCAGTGGTACAGTCTAGCTGAAGGCCAGTAGCTAGTGATGTACCCCCAGGGGTCAATGTTGGGTCCAGTATTGTTCAACTTATTCATCAGTGACCTGGATGAAGGGACAGAGTGCCTCCTCAGCAAGTTTGCTGATGATACTAAACTGGGAGGAGTGGCTGATACCCCGGAGGGCTGTGCTGCCATTCAGAGGGACCTGGTCAGGCTGGAGAGCTGGGCAGAGAGGAACCTCCTGAAGTTCAACAAAGGCAAGTGCAGGGTCCTGCACCTAGGGAAGAATAACTCCATGCACCAGGACAGGCTGGGGGCTGACCTGCTGGAGAGCAGCTCTGCCGAGAAGGACCTGGGAG